GGTCATGACAATACTACTTTCTTCACAACAGTTTACAACCTTTGTTGGATTAAATAGCATAAGTGAGTGAGTTGATGCTGTTCAGTGTGATTATTATTTATCTATGGCCAGTATAGAATCAGGTCTGGACCATGCTAACCTGCGGGTGATGGCACAAACAGATGATGACACCACCAAATCCATGTGAGCTCAAGTTTTGGTCAGTACCTATTTCAGGGAATTACTGGACATGCAAGGAGTTTAATCCTGCAGTCTAGTATAAATGAAATTTCTGAATATGTCCTGCAGGCCCTTGCTGAAGCTTGGGGTGACAAGTTGGGGTTGCTATCTGAGTAGTGCAATAGTATGAAGGTAGTATCAACTTTATATTCAAACAAAAAAGAATTCCTAACCCCAATTCTACATGATGGTAAACCTAAAATGTAAACACTTTACCAGGTCACTTGTATGCTAGGGAGATTAGAGGCTTGGGAGTATGTATCACGTACTCTAGTGTAGATGAGTCTCTGAATATGTTCTGACTAAAAGCAAATGATAAGGTATTCACTCAGAGTGAGTGAGTGAGTGAGTTGGGTTTTACACCGCTCTTAGCAATGTTACAGCAATATCACGGTGGGGGACACCAGAAATGGGTGTCACACATTGTACCCATGTGGGGAATCGAACCCGGGCCTTCGGCATGACGGTATTCACTCAGAAGGGTGATCACCATGATGTATCTTTTGGTTCATACCTACCACAGGTGTCACTATCATTATCTTCAACTTGTTGAACATGCACATAGACAATTCAATGCATTTTTCTAATCAAACTTCCCACCCCTAAACAAGCATGGTGTACTGTGTACCCATCTGTCCTTGTTTCATCAGAGAGTAAGAATGGTGAATCTACATACTGACTACCTACTAGTCTGTCTCACTGTCCCTGAACCACATTATTTTCCCTACTGCCAAGCCCTCTCTGCAGTGCTCAAGCCCTAAATAAAGCAAGTCTAGATTTCCTCAGGTTCTGAATCTCTAGTCTCCCTAGGCTACTTTTCAGTTTGAATGGGTTTATTTGTTACAATCAAAATCAAAATTATATATTCAGAGACTAAGCGTTAGTCTAACTACCCACTGGTTCCAGCTTGTGACACCATGCAATTCCACTCAATATATTTTAGGCTCTAAGATAAATGAAAATTCCTTCAGGAACTGCTTGTGAAAAGAAAACCAACTCTGCGGTACAATTAGACATCTGAGTGGGAAGCAGTTCCTCCAATCCACAGAAAAAGAATGTTAAAAGCATTTTGTCTGGAATAACACTTCTTTATCACAATGATCATCATTACACCTGTTACATTTATCAAGGTGAGAGCAAGTTAACGAGCTGGGTCACATTACTCCAGCACTTAATGCCGATACAAATATAACTATGATTCACTACAAATTAGCCTGGAGCATCCCAGGATTTTTCAAAGAGAAGAAAGTGATCCCACAGGTGAACATATTTTAGGAAAGAAGCTTTCACTTTATTTACTAATGTTTAGATTCATTAATGATAGAACACAGAGCCGACAGAGAAATTAGCAAGAGGCGAAATTGACAATCAGTGGGTGTGTTTGAAAGAGCAAACTGTGGCTGGAGGTATTAAAACAAACAGATATTTCAAATCTGAATGTAACGACTGTTCTATGTCAGTGAAGAGACAAAAAATATTTGGCAAACTTCAATTAGAATTGAGCCTTATACCATTTCTTTATATATACTTATTTGTTTCACATTTTTTCATCTTAAGTTTATATTGCTAACAAAACAGAAGGCCATAATGTAATCAGGTTCCTCGAGCATGCAAACAAACCGATGTTATTCAATGCTAATGGGCATGACAGACAATATGACTTCTACTTATTTCAGATTTTTCTACATTAAATTTAATCTAACATAAGCATTCTTTGTCTAATAATTGTGACTTAAATATATGTTATCAGTTAATGAAGAAATTGGAGTATACAGCCGTTCTTCACATGTACACTGATGTCAATTTCCAAGTAGAATTTGTTTGTCTATTGTTAAATGCCACACTCAACAATGTTCCACCCATATCACATTAATCTGTAAATAATCAAGTCTGACCAGCCAATCCAGTATTGATATCATGACCAATAATCCACATGTGTGAGATATGATTCATCACCCCAGGTTGTCTGACAATATAATCCCATCTGCCTCTATGACAAGGGTAAAGGTTCTGACCGGGATTTTCACAGAGGGTATGTGTTTCTGCAGTCAGATCTTACTATTTGTGTCATAATTATGTGACAGAGAAAAAAACTTCTATCTTTCTTATAAATCCAACTCACTTACTCACTATCATAATTTCCATGGTGTCAATCACTGGATTGTCTTGTCCTGTCTTATTTTCACACAACTCCCATATAGGTGGAATAATCTTGAGTGTGGCGTTAAGAGTGAGTGAGTGAGTGAGTGAGTTTAGTTTTACACCACTTTTAGCAATATTTCAGCAATACCACGGCAGGGGACACCAGAAATGGGCTTCACACATTGTGCCCATGTGGGGAATCAAACCCGGGTCCTCGGCGTGGCTGGCGAATGTCTTAACCACTAGGCTACCCTACCGCCCCTTTGGCGTTAAGAAGTAAACAAACAATGTTGCGATGACATAATGTGTGACCTAGCACATGACATGGGTTGTTCCTCGTGATGTCAACAACTGGTTTTTATGGCCAAGCTCGATAATTGGAAACAATTGGCATATTGCGCATGGAACATATAAACATCTATTAAATCACTTTCAGAAATATTACAACTGATGACTGATTCCGCTACAATATATAATTTATTGAGCAAGGCAGTGATTTTTATTGACAATCTGTCTGCTTTCAAGATAAGAAATTTTCCTGAGCAAAATAGTTGGATCAAGGCTAAGGTTAATAAATCAATTTAATGAGTCTCTCCTCAACGTATATGACATACAATAAACATCCCATCCAATGTGAACCCACTCTATTTCTTTTCAAACAACATATTTATTGCATCAAGTTCACAGAAATTAAATTCTGTAGCTAGCAGGCACTTTATTCTTGGCATACACCTCTCTGAGCATAATATCTCACTGGAGCTACATGTTAACTCAACATTACACCACATGATTTAAGAGTAAGAAGAATTTAAACTGTGCCCCTACTTACATTTGATTCAGTAGGCGTGAGTGAGTCATGCGATGCTTAAATTTTCTGTTTATTATCTTTCTAATGCAACAAGAGTTATGAGGCCTGTCTAAATATTCCCTGCACACCAATAACATACCTTCAAAACCAGAACAATTGAAGGCTGGAGTCAATGTTAGAAACAAAGGGGTTTAAGCCATGGAACCACATGGAAACTGGCAACCAATGTAATCCATCAAACTAGAATATACAAACTTTGTGTTCTCTAGCTGCCTTTCATCTTCCAATTTAATTTCAATATTAGCTTAAATAAACAAAGTTGGTGATAACAGTGGGACAAGGCCCGGACATGTCTGTGCAGAACACCTCGCTGGTTGGTGGATATTGGTATTAGACTGGGGCAGAACACATTCCACGTCTTCATTTGGTCTTTAGGTGTTTCACAAGCTCTTGTGTTATTCCACAAAACAATTACCTGACAGCTTTGTTTTCACCAAAGAAATAATAATAATAATAATAATAAAATGGCTGTATTGGTAAATAAACTGTATTGCAATATATGTCAGTTCGGGTACCTGTATAGATATTGGGAGCTGAAGTGTTACACAGTAACACTAATTGTACATGCAGATCATATATTCTACATATTCAGGTAAAAATAATTCTTCTTACTTGCAACTTCTTTCCATATTTTTAACCCAACAGACCATTTCTCAACAAATATATTGCAGTATGTATTGTTTGTATGAAAGAAGTATTGTGGTATACAGGTAATACCATATTAATGAGTGCATAGTGAGTGTCTCGATCTGACAATCAATATGAAACTCATTGATATTATGAGCAATAATCAACGCGAGTGAGTGAGTGAGTGAGTGAGTGAGTGAGTCAGTGAGTGAGTGAGTGAGTGAGTGAGGAGTGAGGAGTGTGAGAGTGAGAGAGTGAGTGAGTGAGTGAGGTTTGTGAGGTTTTTCGCCGCTTTTAGCAATATTCAAGCAACACCACAGCGGGGGACACTAGAAATGAGCTTCACACATTGTACCCATGTGGGGAATCAAACCCAGGCCTTTGGCATGACGAGCTAATGCCTTAACAAATAGATTCCACAATGTAACTTGTGCTGACATCAGCAATATTTTTGTGAGCTTGTAGAAGTATGTTAGTGAGATTTCAGAGAAATGGTTTCATGCATAGTATTTTGGAAGGCAGTTTATGAGAACCTGGAAGAGTACATGTTTAGTACTGTGCATCATGATGCAGCATCGCTGGTGTTGCTGAGTTATAACCTTGCTGGGATATGAGTTATAACTCAGCACTTGAGTTATAACCTTGCTATCATAACACATAATATTAGCTACATAAGACATAATATTATGTCTACGTGCTACCTAGTGTATGTGAAAGAAAAATCAAATTTGTATTTGACTGACCCTATTTTATTCATTTTTGACCACTCTCAGTACCTCAAGTATAATTACACTACATCACTAATCCCCGAGTTGTGTGTAATTTTTCATACTTTCTTGGTTTTAAACACATGTCCATTTTTCCAATTCAATAAATGCATAAAGCCAGTCTGACATAAACAACATGTTCTTCAACTGTTAATCACATTGTCACCATACCCAGACCTATTGACGCTTGTCACCATGTGTTCACGTTAGACACGTTACATACCTACGTGACCCTTCAATAATGAAGCTGAGTATATATCACACATTTGCTGCAGGTTGATCTGTTATCCAGGGCATTTGACATTTTAGACAATGTGATCATCATCTTGATGATCCAGACAGTCTGGCTCCGGTTCTGAAACAATCAAACAACTCACCTTTTTTTGATTTTGCACCTATTTTTAATTTGGACGGCCATGTTATCTGAGTATTTGTTTCTTCCATAATCTGAAAAAAACACAAAACAACATAAATTATCCCAGTAGTTTCACAGATGGCATAGTTTAAACTACAACAGTTCCACAATACGAGCTACAAATGACAGAGAACTAAGAACCCTACGTCAGTATATCCACACTCTCCTAACTGACTTGATCCGAGAATTGGTCTTCAGTAACCCATGCTTGTTGTAAGAGGGGACTAATGGGATTGGGTGGGCAGGCTCGCTGGTTGCCACATGTCATTGTACCCCAGTTGTGTAGATAGATGCTCATGCTGTTGATCACAGGATTGTCTGGTCCAGACTTGATTGTATACAGACAAGCACCATACAGCTAGAATAAGGCTGAGCGCGTCATAAAACAACATACCAACGAACCAACCTAACTGACCTAATCCTGACTATAGCTGCTAAACTTTCTCAGGAATTCCTTCCTGGGAATACAAGGACTTACTGGAATATCCTAGGATTATTCTTGGGATTCGATTTTCTTACACTATTCCTGAGACATTCCTCACATATTCTGACTGACTGAGTTTGGTTTTACGCCGCTTTTAGCCCAGAAATGGGCTTCACTCATTGTACCCATGTGGGGATTCAAACCCAGGTCTTCGGCGTGACGAGCCAACGCTTTAACCACTAGACTACCCCACCGCCCCTTCCTCACATATGTGTCCAATGAAACATTGTGAAATATCTATTCAATCACAGTATCAAAGAATCATTTTTGGGTAAAGTTGTACTCACTCTTTGAAAAAAGTCCTCAGCCCCTTCATCGTCTTCATTTTCTGGGGCTAAAACAAAAACGATTTTCACTACAACAGACATAAAAATAAAATAATGTATGCAATACTAACACAGTTAAACAATCATATCAACCTCCTTCATCCTGGTGGTTGAGGCACTGTATCATATCAACAATTAAACCTATTAATTTTACATCAAACTGGGGCGATAGATCTTGTCCTGTGGTGGTCTGACCAAGACAAGGAACATGAATATATGGCCTCCGTGATGTTATAATACACAGTACAAATATCACCCAAAACACCTCCAAACTGTACAGTCAAACATTTGACATGCTTTACATAGTATTATGCTTCAGACAATTTGAGAAGCATGGTTGACAAGTGCATAGTACAGTTTAGTTTGTACATATGTTTTCCTACTTAAATTACAATGTTGACACCTGCCATCTATCACATGTCACCTAAAACAGTCCTCTGCACTCCTCCAATATATCACCATAATCTAGTTTCAACTTCACAATACATATGAAAAATATCTGTTATGACTTTTTTGCTGATTTGGTTGAAGTATGTCAACATAATCCCAGACTGGTACAGACTTGATTATTTACAGAACACCAATATGTAGCGGGAATATGGCAGAGTGTGGTGTTACACAAAAATGCAACGAAACAATCGGCATGAAGTGACCATGTTTACAAGTGGATTTGTCACCAAGATTGGGCGACAGCTTTGTGTTTGTAGTCTTTATGATCGCTCCACTAAAGAGGAATTAACTACCTAAGTATTCGTCTAAATATAATGATGACAGCGTTTAAAAGAACTGGAGAATTTTTCTAAAAGGTTTATTTCTTGTTTTTCAAACCAATGCCTGTAAACGAAAGCAATGCCATTCACTATTTTTATGTTTTTTTTCCCTTCAGAAACAGCTGAAGAGAGTTGAGTATCACATATATCACAGTGTTTACATTCAGATATTACTGTATGACTGAACTGGCTTGTCTCAACCTTTCTTTGTTCACAGATTTTTTCACCCTTTGTCTGAAGCAGTCAACAATCTGTCAACAATCTGATAACCTTACAAGCACTGTAATTTTTCATCCAACCATCTCCAGGAATGAGAGAGCTGGCCACATGTTTAACTGTATCTCTACCGCTTGACAGGACAGACTGCTAGTTTTATCTCTGGATGAGTTCGAGAGCACATTTGAGGAATAACCTACATGGTACAAGCGATTACAGGTTATTGATTTACTGTGAATTTATTTTCAAACGTGCAAGTGATATTGAGGAACTTTAGATATTGATTCAGATGGGCCAGATAAACTGCAGTTATGTGTAGAGTTCCGTTTTATAAGCCCAATACTTGGGAAAATGCAGAAAAGGGATTTTTTCTAATCTCTGGAGACAATTACTCAGCTGAACGACTTCACTTAAAATTGTTTGTGACAGTATCATGGCTGTGAACAATTGATGACTACATCTTCAATTATTTGTGTCAATGAGTTTATATACCTCAGGTTGCCATGGGACTATCTGCAAACAATGAAAACTGTGGAACAATTGAGAAATCTTGCCAATCAGCATGGAGGAAAAATCATTATGCTCACTGAAATATCTGAAAATAATTTCCCGTCGCTATAGTATATATCATGTGCTGCTGTGGTATATATCATGTATCGAAATAGTCTGTCTGGTTCTGATCATATAACACATTAAACACAGTCTATGTTGACCAACATTTGACACTGAAGAAATCTAGACTTGCCAGACTACTAGACATTTACATGTTTTGTACATTTATTTTCATGGCAGAAAAACAATTCTCTGAAAATAAAACGTTTAGAGAATTCTTGGCTTCCTGATAAATTTCAACACAAATATGACAAAGAACCCATACAATTTTTCCATTATCTGAAGAAAATCTTGACTTGCCAAAAGTCTTATGGACTCGCATTTTTGTTTCAGGGTCCATGAGAGACCAGCAGTTTATATTAGCACTGGTGTTCATCAAACATTTCAGGGGCGGTGGGGTAGCCTAGTTGTTAAAGCGTTCGCTTGTCACAACAAAGACCGGGTTTGATTCCCCACATGGGTACGATGTGTTAAGCCCATTTCTGGTGTAACCCACCATGATATTGCTGGAATGTTGCTAAAAGCAACATAAAACTAAACTCACTCACTCACTCACTCACTAACATATTTCCTTAGAACTACACAGCAGTGGTGACCATGATCCAGGTAGTGCCGTACCAGGCAGGGAATACCTGCATCTTAATTAATCAAAACCAGGTGATAGGAATCGGCAAGCTATGAAATAAGTATTAGAATAGGTAAGTACACTCTCCAAACTTTAGTAGCAAGAAACACTGGATTACATATATGCAAACACATAGTGCAAACACCATGTGTGTATGATGAGACTGTCTGCCTATAAAAGTGATCTGTTGCATGAGTTTCATAGCCTCTTCATCATCCAAACATCACCTTCATTACTTATTACATGTTCTGAGCAAATGAGAAACAAAATATGAAAAAAATGGATTATCCTGTTCCGTCTAATGAACTTCAGTAACCATAAAAACAAATACTGTACATGCTACTGTTAGTGAAAGCATCTGCTTTCCTGATTGAAGTATAATGATGATGTATTTATAATCATGTATGAATCAGTAACTAGGATCAGGAACACTTTACTCCCCTAACACATTAATGAAGTCTGGACCAGACAGTCCAGTGACTGGCATCATGACCAACAATCTAAGTGTTTGAGTGAGTGAGTAGGGTTGTTGTGGTTTTGCTGCTGAGCTCTTAGCAATATTTCAGCAATATCATGACAGGGACGCACGCCATCAATGGGTTTCACAAATTGTACCAGATTGCAATAACAAAATTTCATACTGATCAGAATTGGTTGTTTCTTGTTTATAGCCGCATTCAGCAATATTCCAGCTATATGGTGGCGGTCTGTAAACAATCGAGTCTGGACCAGACAATCCAGTGATCAACAGCATGAATATCATTCTAGAAAATTGAGATGTGATGACATATGTCAACCAAGTCAGCGAGCCTGAACACCCGTTCTTGTGTGTTGCTTAGTAATCTTACAAGTAGCATGGATTGCTGAAGATCAATTCTAACCCGGATCTTCACGAGTGTCATAGAGCTAGAGTAAGCAGCTTCATAGTATATCATATCATACAAGTGCAATGCACCTTTATCATCATTAGGTTTATTTGTAATTTGAATTAGCTTTATTATACATGGGTAACAAAAACAGTTTAGAAAGACATGACAGACAGAAAGATAGATTGATAACAGATAAGTTTACTTTAAGCATCAAAAGAAAGGATCCAAAGATATTGGAAGTGACAATTCAGATTCCTAGAGCCACGTCAGATATAATAAACAGATAAAATATAATTTAAAGGAAATTAATGACATGAAAGTTATGAAAACAAAAACCAAGATGAATTTACTCCCCACAACACCAGTTCACAGATACTAGCAGGCATGTTCAAGTTCATGATTCACTTCAGTAAATCAGAGCAACAACTGAAAAGCAATCCTCTTATTCACCATAATCAGCACCACAAATACCCATCAACAATAGCCAGTGACAAACCAGGCAAGAAGGTCACATAGAACTGAGATATACACCACCATAGCATGTATATTTCCATTCATTACATGGCTGCAAAGCACGTCATTATTGAAATGGAGAGCTACTGACGTGATATATACAAGACCCAGTGTATAACACAAATATCAACCAGTGCCAGCCTTGGCCTACATTCAAAATACAAGCTTGTCTTTGACAGAAGTCTCTGATAGTTATCACTATTTTGAAATTTGATCCTTAAGGGTTATCGTCCTAGTGCAATAATTCAAGATTTGGGTAATTCTGATGCATGAAGTACACTTTGTTCGTGTAGCAGTTTCTCCCTTGGCATATAAACATGGTAACTTAATTTTGTGAAGCATGCACCAAAGGCAAGGTCTGCTCTGTTCATGACTAACCAACAAGGAAATCGGTCTTTCCAATCTAAACAATTAGTTCAGGTAGCAAGAAATAAATATTACCATGATTACTGAGGCCAGACTTACTAGATGTTACTGATACTGTGAATTTCTTATCAACAGATCTCTTATCTGATCTAATCGCTAATGAGAATGGGCAGGAACAAACGACTGGCCACCTTTCCTGGATTGCAACTGCCTCTGAACCATAAATCATCATCCAAAACATTTGGGGAATTCACTTTTATACATACTAAACAGAAATAAACAAATACAAATATAAATGTAAACATTTTCCATGTAAGATGAAGGTTTAGTGCACGTGAACTCCTACAGGTGGCAGGGTAGACTAACAACCAGTCTCTGAAATGAACATATTTTACAGAAAAAAAGCTCAAAGTGAAAAAATAGAATATAATGAAAAGGAGCCCTGAGACTTTCTTCCCATTTTCAGCTGAAAGGATTGAGTGAGTGAGTGAGTTTAGTTTTACGTCACTTCTAGCAACATTCCAGCAAAATAAGGGTGGGGGACACCAGCAGTGGGCTTCACACATTGTACCCATGTGGGGAATCGAATGCTGGTTCAAGTCCGACGTGACGAGCGAACACTTTAACCACTTGGCTACCACAATGCCCCTTGTTGAAAGGAAAGATATGAAATCTGCTACACACAGGAACAAATGTTACATGAAATTTGATGTCCAGTCTTAGCATCTCACTTGCTCTGAGGGTGTCATTGTCAGCATGGGTACAACCGAAGTGTACCCAAGGTATGTTCCAGAAACGTGCCTGGCCAAAATCAGAATACAGAAATGTACCCTAGGATGAGTGCATTCCGCATTGTGCCTTTTTCTTGATTGGAACTGTCATACTGTTGAATAAGATGCATTTGATGATGCTATATAAGAAAGGAGCAGACACACTAATGAATATTACGCGATGCACAATACCACTTGTAATCAGTTGAATGAGAACAACAGCACATTGTTTTGGTTTTGGTTTGCAGAATATGTACTCATCCACCA